GGTTTTCTAGGTATAGGATCATATCATCAGCAAATAGGGATAGTTTGACTTCTTCCTTACCAATTTGGATGCCTTTGATTTCCCTCTGTTGCCTTATGACCCTGGCTAGGACTTCCAGTACAATGTTGAATAGAAGTGGTGACATTGGGCATCCTTGTCTGGTTCCTGTTCTCAAGAGGAATGGTTTCAGTCTCTCTCCATTGAGAATAATGTTGGCTGCTGGTTTTGCATAAATGCCCATTACGATGTTGAGGAATTATAAATTTAGAATTATAAAATTAAACTACTGAAACTTATTGCATTCAAGTATTCATTGAAATCATGTAAGGAATAAAGGGAAAAAAAAAGAGAGAAAAACCAACCAACCAACCTAATATCTCCAGTATCTTATCTTTATTCTTGAATCTAGAAGGTGACACAAACTTGTAACACACACACACACACACAAACACACAGCCATCGAGTTGAACCCGACTCATAGCAACCTCTCCCACAGCCATTGAGTCGAACATGACTCATAGCAACCTCTCCTTGGGTTTCCAAGGTGGTATCACTACAGAAGTAGATTGCCCAACCTTCCTTCTGTGGAGTGGCTGGTGGGTTTGAACCACCAGCCTTCTGGTTAGCAGTCAAATGCCTTAGGCACTACGCCAACTTGTAAAGACAATTCAAAATACAGCACTGTGATATATGAGGTAATCAAAATCTACTTTAAGGTATAAAAATGAGAAAGGATTAATTATTTCAGGAGAAAGGGTTAGTTAAGAATTCATAGAGTAAGTCCCTCAACAGAAGATTTTGAATCAGCATTTACCAGGTAAACATAGCATTCCAGCAAGCAAATGCAAGCAAAAGCATAGGAGTTTGAAGAGGATGTGTTTAGTATTACTAGAATATAAAATGTGCAGGACTTGTGACAGGAGATGTTGGAGAGGTAAGTATGTTACAGAAACATGCATACGTATGTCTATACAGGTATTTAAAATGATGATATAAAATTTAAACTATGCAAAATAATACTATTTTCTAGTATATTTGTATATTCTAACTGCAACTCAACATATATACCTAAATGTCTAATGTTGTGTTGTTGTTTGCCGTCGAGTCGGGCCCCGACTCAATAGCGACCCCTCCTTGGGTTTCCGAGGCAGTATCACTATGGAAGTAGGATTGCCCAACCTAATAGGCACCTCAATCTTTAACCCTTCCAAAACCAAACTCTTTCCACTGCTCAGATTTTCTCATCTCTATGTTGGTAACTCCATTCTTCCAGTGGTTCAGGCCAAAAACCTAAGGGTCATCCTTGACACTTCCTCTCTCTTAGTATATACCTCATGATCTATCAGCAATTCCTATCACTCTGCTTTGTAATTTATCTAGAATCTGACACTTATCATTTCCTCCACTGATGCTTCCTAGTCTGAATCACAATACTTCTTCCTTGGATGTCCATAATGTCCTCCCAATTTATCTCCGTTTCCACACAACAGTCAGAGTTATTTTCTGCTCATGATCAAGTCTCTCTGCTGCCCAAAACTCTAATGGCTGCCCATCTCACTCAATAGTCAAATCCAAATTCCTTACCAGAGCTACAAAACCCTATGTGATCTACATACTCCTGTCTTTCTGATCTTATTTCCTCCCATTCTCTCACTCACTTGGCCCCAGCATTATTGGTCTCTTTGTTGTTCTTAACTATATCAAGCATGCTTCCACTTCAGAGCACTGACATGTTCCTCTTTCCTCTTCCTGGACTGTTCTTCCCCAGATAGCTATGTAGTTAGTTCTCTCACTTTATTCAGGTCCCTATTCCA